GATCACCAGGAAAAAACAGCCATGATCCAAAAGCATGCAGGGTACTATTGTCCTGACAGGTCATTGTAGGTTGCCTTAAACAGCACTCCCTCTATAATAATGGCTTTAAAACAGAAAGCATTACTTTCGTAAGACTCCTGACCTCCAGGAGGACCCTCCTTGTGCTTTTCCATCAGTAAAGGTTGATATCCAGATATATTGTATGAGAAAAGAATCTATTTTCAATAAAAAGGAAAACTTATGAGAGTCTGAAGCTAATAAACAGGCCACTGGGAGGAAAAGCATGTGGGCTTTTAGTGAGGACATAGAAGAGGACACTACAGATGGGGGATCAGAAGTTGACACAATCACTGTACCAGCTGGCATTTAATCCTTATCTACCATATTCTAGGACTGCCTCTATTATAGAAAATACTCCCTACTAAACCAACTCTTAAAATGTCAAACCTTTGTGGGAGCAGTGGGAGAGAGTGGTCCTGGGTCAAGCTGAAGGCCTGTGAGTGCTAAGCAAACTCTACCACTAAGCTGGGTTCCTGACCTCGCTTTTCCTGACAAGGGCCTATGTTGCCTAGGCTCATCTTGAACTTGTGATCTTCCTGCCTCTGCCTCCTGAGTGTACAACTCAACCGTTTAGAGTTTTTATTTATAGAATAAAAGCTAAGAAATTAGAAAATGGCTCTTCAGGTACTTTTTACAATTCCTTCTTTTGGGTGTGTGCGTGCTGGGGTGGGAAGTGAGAATTAAGAGAGCTGGAGAGAGCAAGCTAGAGCATTTCATCTTACCTGTAAGTACTCCAACAGGTAATCTTTACCTGAGGGCTTCACATGACCACAACATAAGCAGATTTAAGAAAATTAGTGATTCCTTCATGTTTATAGCATGTACTTCAAATTCCCTCAATAACTGTGATTTCCATTTGTTTTTGAGGCAGTGTCTCACTATGTTGTCCAGGCTGGTGGCCTATTTGAACGTACAAATGGTCCCTCTACCTCACTGTCCTGAGTACTGGGACTACAGGTGCACACTAGCATTCTCAGTCCCCATGATCTCAAAAGTATCTTTTTACAGTTGTTCTGGTCACTGTAGGAGTGAATCTAAACCTACACACTGTATTTGATCGACACAGCTCTTTTGAATCTGTAAAAGCTCCCCTCCTTATCACTCTTCTTCTACCCTGTGCTATTTATGTTTTAAAGAATCTGGTTATTAAATAAAATTTCCCATATTATGGATTTTGCTGATTGCTTCTGTGGTATAGAGTAGTATTAGTAAATTATCAAGTTTTACAATAAGCTGCACCAAATTTAACTGCATCTTTAGTCATCAATTACAGTCCACACATCTCACTTCTGTGAGCTGTGCTGAGAATTCTACTAGCTTTAGGGACTAAGGGACCTAAGAAGGCATTCCATAAGCAAGGAGGAGGCAGAAAGCTATGAAGTTTAATGTTGATATCCGGTATGAAGAGAAGGAGAAAAACACAATTGTAGCCTATAATCAACATATTTTGGAAGGCCAGGGAGATTGATCAGTCACAAAGTGCTAGCCAAGGAAGCGTGAGGCCTGGATCCCCAGTGCTCACATAAAAAGATGGGTGCAGCATTGTGTGACTATGGTATCAACACTGTGGAAACAGAAACAGGAACGATCCTTGGGGCTTGCTGGCTGGCCAGTCGGCCTGGCTAAACAGGTAAGCTTCAGCTTTACTGAGAGACCCTGTTTTAAAAAGTGTAGAGGAAGACATTTAATGTTACATTTGACCTCTACATGCCCATGCCTACACTTGTTCATGCGTATATACATAAACCCATAAAAATGCTTTGGATACATGATATCAAAATGTCTTTTTTAAAAATCTATCAGAGGATGCTATCAAGCAAGCTTAAAGGGTACCAAATCAATATAATAATAAGCTATCCATTTTACCTTCTTACATAATGTCACAAAAGGAGTCAAAGTAAAACATGGGACATAGTCAATAAGCATTAGCAGTATATCTAAGAAGAGCATATATACAATGAAATTCATTTGTTTTGGCTTTGGGGGGAAACAGAGAAGATGTTTACTTAAAAATTATTTTCTTAAAGTCCTTGGTGAAGCCAAGAATGGTGGTGCACCCTTTTACCACCAGCACTCAGGAGACAACCCTATGAGTTCAAGGCCAGCACAGCATGTTTACATAGTGAGTTCTAGGTCAGTTAGGACTACATAGTGAGACCTTGTCGCAAAACAAACTAACAACAAAAAAAAAGTGCTTGGTATTTTAAAACCTCGGTCCTATGAAAGCAAAGCACATCACTTTCCAAGTTTCCTACTCTGCTTTAGCCCTCACATTAGGGACTGGAAGAGATCTATTCATACCACACCACAGAACCGGGAGAGCAAGTGGAGGGGGTTGACTTTCGTATGCAATGTAGTGATTCCAAGTGTAGATAAACATTCTGTACTAGCCTTTGACATTAAAGAGAAAGCTACATGTGCCTTAACCACTCAGTGCACTTTGGTTCACCTTTCAAATGCTAGCTCAGATACGAAAGTGTTTTCCACGTATGCAGTATTAATCTTTCTCCCCTTTGAACTATGGTCAACACTTGCTTCATAACTCAGCCAGCTGAACAGACTTTTGTTTTTTTAATATTAAACCAGAATCCATAGGAATGGGATTAGGACAGAAACAATGAAAGCAATTCTCTATCTCAGGGGTTCTCAATCTTCCTAATGCTGTGACCCTTTAATATAGTTCCTCATGTTGTGGTGATCCCAACCATAAAATTATTTTCATTGCTATTTAATAACTGCAATTTTGCTGTCAGGAATTGTAATGTAAATATCTGTGTTTTCTGATGGTTTTAGGTGACAGCCTCCAGGGGTCATGACACACAGCTCTAGGTAGTTCCAATATCCATCAGAATAAGCTTCTCTGCCTCAACACTTCCCATCCATCTCCTTTCTCAGCTTATTTTTTTTTTTTTTAGCTTCTGTTGAATTTGTCTCTTTGGGTATGTCTGGAGGTTCTTCAACTCATTATTGAGTACAAAACAGAACTGACACACATTACATATACTAGGTGCAAAGACTGCCCTCAACGGGGCTGGAGAGATGGCTCAGTGGTTAAGAGCACTGGATGCTCTTCCAGAGGCCCTGAGTTCAATTCCCAGCAACCACATGGTGGCTCACAACCATCCGTAATAAGATCAGGTGCCCTCCTCTGGCATGCAGACATACATGGAGGCATAGTATTGTATTCATAATAAATAAATAAATCTTAAAAAAAAAACTGTCCTCAAGAACTTCACAGCCTGATCAGGAAAGACAAAATGTAAATAAAAACAACAAAGTAAATACTGAAGTCATGGTCTAGAGTAGAGATATGGGATGGAAGACCTGATTTTATTTACTAGAATACAGGACTGAATCAGAAAAGGTATCAGAACTCCTTCAAGGGACTTGTATAGACTGTAGTTTTGAACCGGCATTTTAACAATTTAAATGTAGTGTGATGGATTAAAGACTAAAACTATAATTTGGCAGTAATTTGGTACAGGCTGGGGATGTAGCTCAGCTGAGAGAGTGCATGAGAGGCCTTGAGTTCCATCCTCAGCATCACATAAAACTGGGTGTGGTTGAGAAGGCCTTCAATCTCAGCACTTGGGAGGCAGAGGCCGGAAGATCAGTTCAAGATCACCCTTGACCACACAGAGAGTTTACAGCCAGGCTGAGCTACATCAGATTCTGTCATAAAAATAAATAAATAGATAAGCAAACAAATAAAAAATTGGCATAGGAGAAAATTATGATTTTATTCTGAATATAACCCAGGGTAAGGGTTAGCAAGCAGTGGAAAGCAGTTAGAGCAGGAATTAACATGTAATATTGCCATAAAAGAAAAAAATGACTAGTTAAGGATTAGTGAATTCTAGAACTGTAAGCTTTACAAAGTCTATCTTGTCTAGAGACATTAAAAACAAACTTGAGGAACTAAAACTATTCTGGCTTCCGGAACACTTAAGGTCTGGAGGAACAGTATTTCCTGAGGCCGGAAATAGCAAGTCACTCTTGCTTTCACAAGTTGGTGGCCAAGGCCATGTTTTCAAACTTGAGTAGAACAGAATTGTTTGGAGTCATTAGGATCCTTAAGGGATTTTTTTTTTAATTAGAAAGATTACACTGGTCAGGATGTGGCATAAAACTAGGTGGCCGTTCTCAAACTTTTTTCTTGAGTCTGAAAGAGATACCTTATCTCTCTTTGCATCACTCTTTCCAACTAAATCAAATGAAAGCTTTTAACATAAGCCAATCTATGAAGTTCAAGGTCAAGTCTGGGAAGCAGTCAAGATGAGCAGAAGTGGCTCCTATATGTCCTGACTATGAAAACCCAATAAAACGCACAAACAGTTTGCCTAAGCTCAGCAGTGAAGTGACGTGGGATTGGGCACTAGATGCCTCTTTGCAAGTTCCATTCAACAGAATAGCATCTCCTTGAGTGAACTTAGCTACTTTAAACTCTATAAGAACATAGATTTAAAAAAAAAAAACACACACAATTTTATGGTGCACAGCTACGTCTTTGGAAGAAGTCATTAAGACGTAAGCAGAAGCTACTCCTTGCAACCTGACTCAAAAGCTGACTGTAAGAGTCAAACCCTCAAAGCTGTCTAGGAAGCACATACCCAGCCCATTAAATGTTACAGTTTAGGATTCTCTGTGTTGTAGGAGATTTAATTGTTGCTTGTCTTTAACCAAAAATAGTCAACTTTAGTTATAAGAAGACAAAAATGAGGAAATCAAAATCTGCATTTCCTTGCCTTCTTGCCAGATACATTCCCAAAGGTCAAGTGACCACTGCAGTGACCTACTATGGTCACTGTTATTCCCAGGCTCCTAAGCATCACAGAAAAGGGATCTTTAATTCCTGGTGATAATTATAAAACGAGGCAGGTAGTATTCTTACATGAACAAACCAGGGGTTGAAACACCCTGTCCTCTGGGTTTCTACTTACCCTCGGTAACATCCTGGGGGTTAGAAGTCCGGTCACTGGAAGGATCTAGGGCAACAGTTGCCAGAGAGGTAGTGGCCCCAGACAGTTCACTCATAGGCTCACTACGGCTTGTTTCTGGCACACTTTCTCGGGAGCTAAATCTTACTCTGGAACTAGATCGAGAGCTGAGGTCCGGGCTGGTGTCTGACAAACCTGGAATGTCATCAATCTTGGTTGGTGTCACCATGAACCGAACTGAAGACATCTTGGTGGTAGGTTCTGGAGGATGCATTTTTTTTCCCCTTTTCAAGAAAGAGAAAAGGAAAAGCTCACAAAAACTCTTCCTCCTACGCTAGCTACTTTTGATTGCAAAAATAGAAAACTTAAAAAAAAAACCCTCAATTACCTTGATTTACATCTCACAAAGGCCCAATTAAGAATCCTTCTACTTAGAATTCAAGCCAACTGTTTCATAAAGTGCAATACCAGTAACTGAAAAATAATTTTTGAAAAACAAAATGAGAACAAAACGATGCTAATCTTGTGTAACTTGGCTCCTTCAGAATCCTAGCTATCTCCCCTGGTCCATGGCTGAGGGCTCCATGCCATGATCTTATGGCAGCTGGTGACGCCTCTCTCTGCTCAACCCCCAGGTCCTGATGAGGTAGTTAGTCCTTTATCTGCTGAGTGTCCCACGGTTCTAGCTGAGGAAAGAGCATGCAGGCCCACCCTTATCAGGCGACTATAGCGTGGATCAGATTGCGAAAAGGTGTGCACGGCCACCTGTTGTGTATCAGGTGAATACCCCACAGGTCTGGCTGGGAGGTGTGTGCTGAGCCACCCGATGTTTCTGAGGTCGACAATCCACTTGGGTCTGGTGGGAGAGGTGCACATGCATAACGGGAAAAATACCCCCACACTACAGGATGGAGAGAAAGGCGAGCAACGAGAGGATGCCGGGGCAGAGTGGATTCCTGCCTCCCAGAGATCTCTTCCTGGCCGAGGGGCTGGAGGCGGCGGCTAGCGGATCAGGGCAGCTCCGACAGCAGCTCCGGGTCGCGGCAGGGTCGTCGCGAGTCCCCCGAGCCCACGACCGCTCGCCGTGTTTGTGCCGCGTGTGACAGGACGCGTTTTTCCCCGGGCCGACGCGGATGGCCTCTTGCCGGCTCTCCTTGGGTCTCAGCCGAGAAGACGGCCACGCAGGCTGGTCGCAGGTGCGGGATCCCGCGCCAGCTGATGCGGGTGCGCGCGCAGCTGTTGTTTACTAGCCGCTAACTGCTCCGGAGCCGCGGCGCGCGGGAGGCCCCCTCCCCGGCAGACGCCGGAGGCCGTTACGTGACCTCGCCGCCCCCCGCCCCGGGCGCGGCGGGCTGTACCCGCGCCGCCGCAGCCCTCCCCTTCCCGCCCCGCTCGTTCCTCATTCGAGGTTAACCGTCCTGAGAAGTCTGGGGAGCAGCTGGAGGGCGGCGCCGTCCCGCGGGCACCAGCAGCCCCGCCCAGAGGCTGCAGAGCCGACCGCGAGTGTGCAGCGCGCCTGCGCGGACCGGCGGCTCTCACGTGGAGCACGACGGGTACTGCAGTCCGCCTCCGTGTGTGGCGGGATGCCTTTTCCTCGTGTCACCTGTACCGCATGGACTCTGGATGTAGCTCAGAGGCCGCCAATGCCCATTTACCCTGGGACCGTAAGGGTCTTTAATTAGAGTACCTCTGGAAACCTTACCTTTCTGGCACCCAAACCTCCCATTACCACCTATTTATCTCAGATGGGGATATCCTCTTCTTCAGTGTAGGCTTCTTTCCTACCTCTTGTTCCTGCCCCCTTGAAAATCACAAGCCAGGCTTCCACTTCCATTAAAGTGAACTATTAGGCATGGAGAAGACATTGAGGTATTTGTTCTACTCCATTTCCAGTGTTTGACCTACTTTAACTGTCAACTAGATATGTTTAGTGTTTAATGCTTCAAGATGTTTAATAAATCTCAGTTCAGTAATCTTTCGTTTGAAAACTTCCTGTAGGTTTGACCAAATGCGGAAACTAGCTGGAGTGTTGCAGGGGTCCTCGGTTTCTCGTATTTGCAAAGAGTTAAGTCAGCATATGGATCAGGGGTTAGAAAAGACCCTGGTTCGGTTCCCACTTCTCACATGATTTGACTCATAACTGCATGCAACTTCAGTTCTAGGGGATCGGACCTCTGAAGACAAGGTACAGAAGTAGCACACTTACTCACATATAAAGGATTTATATTTTAAAAGAATTAAAGTCATGGATCAGAATCATCTTAATGCCTGTGTCTGGAAATTCCGATTGATCAAATGACAATTCCCAGTCTAGTTAAAAGCCGGGGAATAGCCAGGCGGTGGTGGCACTAGATAGAGTGCCACCTAACATTTACAAAGCCATTCAGAAGATCAGATTGGGTGGTAATTCCAGCTCTTGCGAGGTAAAGGCAGGTCAGAAACTGGAAGTCATCCTCTGCTACATAGAATTTGAGGACACCCTGTGCTCCATGAATCCTGATTTCACTTTGTCTCCAAAGATCAAAAAAGCTTTTGGCCAACAAAGGAGCATCGTTGCCACACCTGCAGATCAGGGTTCAGTCCCTGGGACCCATATGTAGGACTCACATACATGTACATGCCCCCCAAAAGAAGTGTGCTTTTCAATAAACATTCAAGTTTTTTCACCCCCACCCCCATGATGATAGAATCCAGAGCTTTCGAATGCCAAATTCTCTATCACAGGGCTAATAGTTTTACATTTTAATCGGAATTTCATTTTATTTCTGAGAGTTTCTCTGTGTAGCTTTGGAGCCTGTCCTGGAACTCGATCTGTATACCAGGCTGGCCTCAAACTCAAGAGAACTGCCTGCCTTTGACTCCCAAGTGCAGATCTGAGTTCAAGGCCAGCCTGGTCTACATACTGCAATCCAAGGCAGCCAGTGCTACATAAATAATAAAAACAGAGAGAGGAAGGAAAGAAAAAACAACCAGGGTTGGTAGAATGCTCACCTAGCATACAAATCCTAGGTTCAATCCCCACCATAAACTAGGGGTGGTAATGTACACCTGTTACTCCAGAACTCAAAATGTAGTGGGAGATAGGGGTGCTCTTCCAGAGTTCTATCCCCAGCAGCCACATAAAGGCTAGCTCTAGTCTAGCTCATTGTCTAGCTCTAGTCTCAGGGGATGACACCCTCTTCTGGCCTCGGTGGGTACTAGCACACATATGCCTAGACATGTAGGTAAAATACATAAGCACATTATTTTTGAAAATCTAAAGAGCAAATTTGGAGTGCTTGATGCTCTTGCTGAAGACCCAAGTTGAGCTCCAGCACCTACATGGTGGCTCAAAACCATCCATAACTCCAGGTCTAGGGGACCCAACACTGTCTTCTGTCCTCTGAAGGTACCAGGCAAGCATGTGGATGCACACATGAAGGCAGCTATCACAGTGGGAGGACTAAAAGTTCCCAGTCATCCCGAACCACAAAGCAAATTTGAGACTAACTCAGAATAGAGAGACCATCTCAGAAACCAAAACAAATGCAATAACCGCCCCAAGCCCCAGAAAATTCCAGCTGTTCATTTTTCTAAATGTTTGCAGAGTTGCTTGTTGTTTTTGTGTTTTGTTTTTTGAGACAGGGTTTCTCTATATTGTTTTGGAGGCTGTCCTGTAGACCAGGCTGGCCTCGAACTCACAGAGATCTGTCTGCCTCTGCCTCCGGAGTGCTGGGATTAAAGGCGTGTGCCACCAACCTCTGGAGTTGTTTTGGTTTTTTGAGACAGAGTTTCTCTGTGTAGCCTTGGCTATACTGGAACTAACTCACTTTGTAGACCAGACTAAGTCACAAACTCAAGAGATGGTGGTTTGCAGAGTTTTTAACATTTCTATATCCTTAGTAGGATATGATTCATTCCTTAAAATCTCTCACATTGTGTTTTTGAATGGGCTAAGAAATAAAATTACTTGAAAGGAAAAAGAAACAAACATATATAACTGTATCTGATTTTAGCAGACCTACTACTTAATTGAAAGTTACCTGTCTTCTGTTAAGGTACATACATCAAATGATTTTTTTTCTTTCAACACCAACAGTCAAGAGGAATCCTGAACTTTTCTACCTCTGCAAGGTTGCAGAACATAATCTCTATGAAGTTTAAAATTAGTGGTATTGAGGCTGGAGATTACGCAGCAGAGGACCCAGGTTCTGTTCTGAGCACCCACATGACCAATGGAAGCAATCCCCAGTTCCAGTTTCAGGGGATCCAATGCCCTTTGTCTCTGTGGACACCAGAAACAAACATGGCACACATACATACATGCAGGCAAAACACACATACATATAAAATAAATACTTCTTTTAAAAAATTAGTAGCAGTAAGCATCAATACATTCAGATCCAGTGTCACAATCCAGGAATGAGACTGATAACTGGTTAACTTGACAAGGAAAGAAGAGGCCAACTAGCATTTCTTGAATGCCTGAATACAGTATTTTACTTCACCGTCATTCTAATATGAAATTAATTAAAAATCACTTAAATTAGCCAAGCATGGTAGCATACATCTTTGATCCCAGCCCTTGGGAGGCAGAGGCAGGCAGATGGAGGCCAGCCTGGTCTAAAGACTGAGTTCCAAGACAGTCAAAGCTACACAGAGAAAAGCTTGTCTTGAAAAAACAAAAATCAAAATAAACAAACAAACACTCAGGTTGCAGGGCGTGGTGGTTCGCATCTTTAATCCCAGTACTTAGGAGCAGGGTGGTGGTGGTGCACGCCTTTACTCCAGCACTTGCAAGGCAGAGCAGAGGCAGGCAGATCTACAGAGTTCCAGAACAGCCAGAGCTACAGAGAAACTCTATCTCAAAAGAGAGAGAGAGAGAGAGATCACTTTTGCTGTTCCCACTGCAGTGGTGAAAGTCCTTAAGCTTCTAATTCATATATATATATATATATATATATATATATATACACACATACACACACACACACATTACAACTCTAGACTGGAAAACAACAAAAATCCTTTCATGAATTTCTCACACCTCTTCAAAATTAAGATCTTTGGGGCATGACACATAGCTGCTGGCTGAAAGAGAATACAGATGTAACAGATGTAGGGTTATTATATGTAAGCTGACTAGAGAGAAAAGTGTGGGTAGATTTCCAGGACAGCAAGTTTGGTCAATGACATTCCCACTTATGACAGCTGAACAAACAACTGTATGATTATTAGGATGCTTCACCTCTACACCCTTAAAATTGAGGAAAAAAAAAAACAAGTTGAGTGCCTTTACTCCTTAAAGAGGGGATAACAGTACCAGTTTCCTAACTTCCAATTGTTATTTAAAGGGGCCACAATTTATTTCAGGGACTGGAGTATGTTTTCAGCTGACCTTTGTAGGAATCTTTCTCAGCCTTTCTTCCCCCAAACCCTAATACTCATGGCGCAGTGCTACTTCAAAAGTGAGGGCTTAACATTGCTCTCAAGTGGCCTTGTACTAGTAACAGTACTGCACCCCACCCCAAATCTTTCCCTCCAATCACACACAAAATGAACTTTCAAGTCATTGTCTCTTTAATAACCTGGCAGTAATTCAAAGCATAAAAAAAAAGTTAAGACTGTTCATTTTACGGGCGATGCCCATCACGACAGACTCAATCACGTAGTAACATAGGATTCCAAACAGCATGGGAAGGCTTCACTGCTCACGGGACTGACGCGTTTGGTTACTGATAATCGATCTGGGGGCGGGAAGCACATGAAATCAACGAACCCTCAGAGAACAGGACGCGGTTGCTGGGTCATGAGCACCTTGAAGCGTCTCTTGATGGTGATTCGGTGTCTTGAGTATTTGTCGTCAGGGGAGAACCGAGCAGGATGGGCAGAGCAAGTCTGTTGTCCCATGGGGTCAAATTTCTGCTCAAGGAAAAAAAGAAAATGATCTCAATGTGAGTGGTGTGATAGCACGGGAACGACAAGAAAATGGGAAAGCTGAAGCCAGGAGACGCGGTGGTCAGAACAAGAAGCCGTGCAATGCCCAAATCTACCTACCACGTTTCGGCTCGGACGTGGCTCGCAGCACCGGGCTGCGCAGGCCGGCGGCCGGTTCCCACTGCTCCTCCCACCTAAATTTCTCGCCCTCCCGACTTACAGCTGTTTTCTCCCCTTACCTTCAACGTATAGACGCGATCGCCCTGCTCGTTGAGGTAATACTGGAGAAACATGACCGCAACTCAGCAGGGAGATGCCGACCAGTCCGCAGCCAGCCGCGTTTGCCTGGAGTCTACCGTCTCAATCGTGCTCGCCAACATCCTTCCCGCCCGACCGGAAGCCGCTATAAGGCATGCCGGGAAATGTAGTCCATTTCTCCAGTCATAGCCAGTTGACCAGAAGGGGGCATAGTAGAGCAGGACGTGGCCTTGGTCTCAAAGTAGTTACAACCTTGCAAAGTGAAGAGCCATGGAATTGCCCACTGTGTGCCAGGCACTGCCAGACGTTAGGAGGTAGGGATGGGTGTGGGTTAAATGCTGATGCATCCAGTCCTATCTTTACTCTCAAATTGCACACCCATTTCAGAGACATTAGTTTTGTAGTTCCTGGAGAAACAAGGACTCCAGGATTCTCAACCTCCTATATCCTAGGGAAGATGTAAGATTTTTTTCAGACCCCCCCCACTTTTACATCCGGTTCCCCGCCCCACTTCAAAGTATTGGCGGTAAAGAGTGCATGATGGGTATTCGATATTATGCAAAGCGAAAAGAACGTAAAGGTTTTCTTATGAATCTGGTGAATTTTGTTTTAGAGGCCGAACCAAGATTCAAACTCAGGACTTGACCACAAATTCAGCTCTTTCTTACATGGTGAGTAGCAAATCATATCACAATAAGGTGTCTTGGATTATTTCCAGTTTTTCAACGATGAAAAGTCTTATAAGAGCCTAGTATTTAAAAAATTAAAATTAAAACCAAGATATTGTAAACTGATCATTGTAGTACTATTTATAGTGACAAAATACTGTAGTATATTAAATTTATATCCAAAAAACCTTAGTTTTTTTTTTTAAGTGATGGATATAGTTGGTTTACTTGTCGTTGCATAAGATACATTCAAAAAACCCGGGAGTTTAACACGGGCTTGTAACCCCAGAAGCCCGGAGGCTGAGGCGGAAGGATCTCCAGCAAACAGTAGGTTCAAGGCCGGTGTGGGCAGTATTCCGAGCAGTAAGACCCTGCTTTAAACTGAGAAACAAAAAGTCAAATGGCATGCGTGCGTGCGTGCGTGCGTGTGTGTGTGTGTGTGTGTGTGTGTGTGTGTGCGTGCGTGCATATGTGTGTGTGTCACGTGTACGCGTGCACGAGATTTTGCTAGGGGCGGGAATGTACTAGAAACAGTTAATATTGCCATCTTCTGGCATGGAGGAGGACTTGGTTACAGGGAAATGAATGGAAGGAGCGCTTGCTGCTGCGTATTTTATTTTGCATAGCCTGAATTTTTTGTTTGTTTTGTGTGGTTTTTGTTGTAGTCGACTGTTTAACACACACACACACACACATACACACACACACACACATACACACACACACTGAATAGTAGTCGTTTTCATCATCCCATATCCTTTTATCCCCCTTTTTTCCCTTTTCTTAGTTTGACTTTTCAGCTATGCTAATATATTAATTTAATATAATTAATTTAATAACTTCAAAAGGTAATTTAGTGAAAAACCTTATGGTAATTTTAAGGCACCAGCTGTGGCTCAGGACTTTAATTTATGTACTCACGAGGCTGAGACAAGAAGGTCTTAGGTTTGAGCCTAGGCTGCATAGCCAGACTCTTGTCTCAAAAAACAAAAAAAGGGACTGGAGAGATGGGCTCAGTGGTTAAGAATGCTTGATGCTCCTGCAGAGGATCCAGGTTCAGTTCCCAGCACCCATGTGACAACTCACAACTGGCTGCAACTCTCCAGTTCCAGAAACCCTGACTCCCTCTTCTGGCTTCTGAGGGCACCAGGCATGCACCCAGCTGCACAGTCATACATTCAGACAAATATTCATAAACACAAAATAAAACTACATAAACCTTTCTTTTTTAAAAAGGTAGAGGTCTTTAATCCCAGTACCCAGGAGCTAGAGGTGGCAGCTTTTCAAGAAGGTGGCACTTACACCACACCCTGGATCATCTGAAACTCTTCAATTTCAAACATTTAGTTTTCTTGATCCTCAACTATACAAACTAGGTGCTCCGAATTTGGCTCAGAAAATAGAGTTATTGTTGTAACAAGCCAAAGGCCTACCACTAATCTATTATTAATGGTAAGCCAGTTACAGAACTGGAAGGGCAGAGGATTAGATATATTGTTGAAGAATAGAAAAATAAGAAACCAAAAGCAAAAACTACAGTATAATGTTGAGAATCTGAGAAATAACGTACAAATTGTCCGGGGTAGGGGGGGGGGAGACACCTCCCTCAGGCAGTGGTGGCGCACACCTTTAATCCCAGCACTCCGGAGGCAGAGGCAGGTGGATCTCTGTGAGTTGGAGACCAGCCTGGTCTACAAGAGCTAGTTCCAGGACAGCCTCCAAAGCCACAGAGAAACTCTGTCTCGAAAAACCAAAACCAAAAAAAAAAAAAAAAAAAAAAAGGACACCCAACAATCATGCAATCATGCTATCAAATTAATTTAGAGGGATTTTCTACTTTTTGCTTACCTACTAGAACCCACCTCATCATTCTCACTATGAAATACCTTGTCCCCTCCCCCACTACAGAATGCCTGTGTCCAAGATTCTAATTCTGTTTTGACCCAGTCTTTACCCTACCTTCCTTGGAGAGCCTCTGTTAGAGCTAGGTTATTGCCTGGTTCCTGGGCCCAACTGTTTCATTCTGGAGGCCTCCCAACAGCCACTGTTGGGTGTCCCTAAACCTCAGAGGATGGCGTCAGACAGAAGTAAGACTGGAGGTGGTGGAGGAAGTAGGGTATCTGCCACCTGCTCACATCCCTGGGGTGTCACGTTTGTCACTTTACCTAGGAACAAATTATTTAGGCTAACCTAAAGGGATGTGAGACATTAGACACCCCCACACAGGCCTTAGGAAGCCTAGGGAAGTAAGAATGGAGGAAGCCTCCTTGGGAATGAACCGAAGTACCTCAGGAGTAACACACTGAATACAGGTAATGGACCGCAATCACCAGTTTGATTCCCAGGAAGAGGTCGCACTTTAACATGCATGGGTTGGAAGCAAAGCTCTATGTGCAGTATGGGTAACATGGTCAGGATTTCAGGGAAGACTCAAGATCTGCGTCTTCTGGCAGCTCGTGCCTGCCCTAGGACTTCACCATGAAAAGATCTTTTGAGGGAAAGTAGGCTGGATGGATGGAGAAGTAGGAATTGGGTCAGGGGGACACTCAGCTTACTTAGAGAGCTAAAACTCTTCAGGGGGTTATTTATTTAAGAGTCGGTGAATGGGGCTAGAGATTTTATGAAACTGACTGTGCTCCATACCTGATGGTCCCTACCAGCCAGATGTGGCTTCTTTTCAGTCCAGGCAGCAGGCTTTTCTTTCTTTCTTTCCTTCTTTCCTTCTTTCTTTCTTTCTTTCCTTCTTTCTGTCTTTCTTTTTTCATAGTAACTTATTAAGCATGTATCTAGAAGTTGGGGATTCTAAGCTCAAGATTCCATCTAATTAGTGTTCTGGAGAGGGTACTTTTCCTGCCCCATCTGTGCACGTGTGCACTCATGCGCGCGCGCGCGCGCGCGTGTGTGTGTGTGTGTGTGTGTGTGTGTGTGTGTGTGTGTGTGTGTGTGTGTAAAATTTTTGTTTATTGAAATTGAATCCAGGGCCTTACACATGCTAGACAAGCATTATATGAGCCAAATCTTCAGCCCTTACTAGTCTTTTTAGTTTGAGGTGAGGTCTCACTAAATTGCTCAGGCTGCCTTTGAACTTGTGCTCTCCCTGCCTCATCCTCCAGAGTGGTTGTATTAATAAATCTGTACTTTTTTTGGTTTTTTGAGACAGAGCTTCTCTGTATTGTTTTGGAGACTGTCCTGGAACTTGCTCTATAGACCAGGCTGGCCTCGAATTCACAGAGACTCACCTGCCTCTGCCTCCCGAGCTCTGGGATTAAAGGAGTGCGCCACCAAAGCCCGGCTCTAAAAATCTGTACTTATTTTTAAGTATGTTTTTGTTAGAGGCTTCCTTCCTTCCTCCCTTCCTTCCATCTGTCTGCCCATTCTTTTTGTTTTGTTTTGTTTTGTTTTGTTTTTTTGAGACAGGGTTTCTCTGTGTAACAGTTCTGGCTGTCCTAAGCTCACTTTGGTAGACACCAGGCTGGCCTTGAACTCACTGAGATCCACCTGTCTCTACTTTGCAAGTACTGGGGTTAAAGGCATATGCCACCACTACCCAGCCATGGGGTGGGGAGCAGTCTTTCTTGACTTTCAGGATGGGGAAGATAAGTCATCTTAGCCATAGTGAGATGCTCGGTTTTCTTACCTATTGTGGAGCTAAGACCTTAGCAACATTTTGCAATGTACAGAAGTTGGCGGTTATAACCTGACCCTCTGTTGTGTGACTTAGATGAGTGTGAACATAAATTTGTTCCTATTTTATGTCTCCTTTGTGGTTAGAAATCTGAGTAGTGCTGGTTTGTCTGTGAGATGCTCTTTTTTTAAAAGAGGGAGGAGAACAGCATGAAATTAGGCCAATCGGGTTCTGTTTTTATCATTAAAGTCATGTAGATGTCCCTGTGGATATCATGTGGATATAGACCCTGTTTAATGAAGTAAACATTTGTGTGCTATCCCCTGCTCTGCCTGACCGACATCCACATAGCTCACCCCAGCAGCAACTGTGTTCTAGGTTTCCTTTTTCTTTAGCTTCAGCTCAATGCTTTATTCTTTGTGAGCTCCAAACTTCTAACATTAAGAAGCAGGACCACAGATAACCTGTGCTGCCAAATTTCAACTTGTCCAGTAGTCACTGAAGGCACTGAAAATCTCCCTCCCTCCATGCACCCCCCCCTCAATTTCCTGGTCCTTATCTAATCCTTCCAGCTATTCCTGCATAATGAAGTTTCTGGGAAGCTGCCATACCCTGTCCTGGGGACTGTACTTCTGTGGATGTTGACAGGGGACACAGAGCAGCTGGGAGCAGGTGGTTTCTGTCTCATGGGAGTGGGCAGGGTTAGTAGGTGTCCATCTATGCTGGTGGCATGATTTTTGGAGAAATGAGCTTTGTGAGTTCTGGAGTCATTGTGCCTATTCATAAACTGCATCTTCTGTTGTTTGAGATGAAGAGATTATTAGGAGTAAGAGGATTAGGGAAGGGAGGA